GTGCTGACCACTACACTACGAAGGCATGCTAAGAAGGCGAGGAAATACTTTATAACCCAATCGCTAAATTCTGGTGGTGACGAATTATCGTTTCCTCACCTTTTTTAGTTCAGGGGCCAGTTTTAATGTCTACTCTTCTTGACTAACATAAGCTGTTACTAGACCACGTTAGCGACTTACCGCTAAGATTAGAATATGAATACAACAAGAAAAGGTGTAAAGACCTTTTTATTGAGCTCAATTATTCACAGACATCGTAGTCTTTATGCTTACGAATCCACCCTCCGCTTGTGGCGATAAAACTAAAAGGTAAACTAAACTAAATTCAAAGATAAGCTAGTGGTTCAAGAGTACATAAATTGAATTTACCTAGCAGGTTGACTCAGAAACCTACACTGGCGTGATATTAAACTTCGGCGGCAAGAATGCAAGCCGAGATTCAGAATTCAAACAGCTGGAAGAAACAACAAAATACGCACTCGCTATCGAAACATGCTGTCGCTAACCTTTTCGCTACTAACTCATTTATATCCTGGCGAGAAAACGCGGGAGGAACAAGAAATGACAGAAAACGCTAACAAATTCTTATATGCGCATATCTCATTTACATACTATTAAAATCTAACTAAAAAGAGAAGTGATAGTAAAGTTCAAAATAAAAATATAGTGGATTACTTAAACTAAATACTTTACAATCGTACGGTTATTCAAAATACTGCAAATGCAATCTTAGAGAAAACTTAAACTATGAATGAGCTTCGAAGTTTTAATTTTCATTAACAACTGTCATTTTTTACAAAAATTATAGGCCACCTGAATGAACTCAAAACAGTAGGGAAGAGATCAATCGGTATACATTATGAGGTTTATGACTAGGTTTTAGCGCAAGTTGAAACCTTTCCTCGTTACTTTAGGGAAAGGAATTATTTGACACATTTTCTGTGTTTCAGTATTTGACACTGAAGTACGAAAAAAAAACATTGAATTTCTCAGACATTTATGCAGATACGCAGAATACCATAAGCGAACCCAGTTTAAGATGGATTAAAATAAATGGCAGTAATTAGTTGCTTAATATACTCAGCACTCGCCTTGAAGAAAAATCATTCAGGCTAAAGCTGGAATTCTGTTAGCCTTCAAAGAGACCTATTCTTTCAAACAAAGACAGAAGAATAATAAATAAATAAATAAATTTTTTTTAAAAAATCTGAAAGATTTCAGATTTCAATGGTCACCCGAAAGCTTTTGTTAAAGTTTTTTACGCTCTGGCTGAGTTAGCAGTCTATCAGTCTGCTGTTACACTCAGTCTTACTACACTCTTTTTTTTTTTTTTTTTTTTTGTCTTTTTATCTTTATTATTAAGCATCATTTTCTTCGCACTTAAGCCCCATATAATTCAAAAGCAAAATTACAAAACTTTTAAAAGTAGCATAGCAGTATATACGCTTACCATTCCTGATGCAACGTAAAGTGTTGGCATATATTTTCCTGTTTTTTTTTATTTATTTATTTTTTTTTTATTTCAAACTTTTCTCAGTTCATCATATCAATATTCAGTTTTCTTAGATGGCTTTGCAAAACTTTTTCTTTTCTTTTTATTATTAACGTTTTGTATGTTTACTTTACTTATTCAACATCAGGTTCTTGGTAGTTATGTTACATCAAATTCGACTCAACAGCAGAATCACAATATATTAATAAACATATTTTTATGATTTCCGATAGAAATTATAAAAAATATAACTTCTATCGGAAATTACATATTCTGGGCCCTGGAAATAAAAATGCTGTTTCCCGTACAGTGTTGAAACTACTCGCTTTGAAATAATTGAGTTTGTCAATCAAAAAATTCCTTAAAATTTTACAAAATATGAAATAGATAGCAAAGAGAATTTCAAATTCAAATTTCGGGCTTCCAGGTGCCGATGTTCGAGTGGAAGACTACGTTGTTTAAAATTGTATGATTCTAGGTACCGCTGTTTTTCCACATTTCGAGAAACACGTATACATTCATGAAGGTTCTTCATTACTTTATTTTTCTTAATACAGGGCGGTAATATTTGGTGCAAGCAATTTGGAAAGTGATACGCCATTTACAGTGATTCAACGTAAAATGCCGTTTCGAGACTAATATCCCATTCGAGACTAACGTGCCTTTTGGGGAAAAAAAAGTTGCAAGATTTTTCAGATACCTTTCTAATGAATGTTACTCTTATAATAATGTTATTCTATTATTTTGGGTAAAAAGTATGTTTTTGTCAGTAATTATTTTCGTAAAAGTTCGTTTTCCGGTATGAGGTTTGCCAAGAATTGCTACAGAAATTTTCTCGCAAATTCCTTGTTCTTTCCTACATTTCTGCATTTCTCAGTAACTGAAATCCTTGTATAAATCTCAAGCCTTTCAATGAATGCTGATACTGGATTGCTCTTAATTTTCAAACCGTGGTCTTCCAGTTGGAAAGTAAATGTATGTGTAGTCTTCGTATATTCATTATGATCCTGAAAATCCCTAGATCTAAGTAGTATGTTTTTCTAAAATATTTGTCTAAATTTCGTACGCGAAAATATAGAGTTATTTATTTAAAACATAATAAATATTACAGATATTATATTGAATGGAATTTGTCTTTTCGGACACCGTACAGATGTTCAAATTTCGTATTTTCTCAATTATTATCTTCGCAGAGCTAGTTTATTAATATATTTGTAAATATCAAAATAAATAAAAAATATGATTCTTTAATATTTAAATCTATTAAAAATTTATTGAAATATTTTTTATAATTTTTGTACTTATTAAAAGCTTTTCTTCCCCACCAGAGAGTTCTTTTTTTTTAATGTTAAAGTTCAGCCATATCTATTTTACAGTTTTACACTTACTGAAAGAAAAATAATTAGCTTATTCTCAAATAGTGGTTTCTAAATGTATTGCATTTATAAAAATTTTCGCGTTGCTGAATGTTTTGTAAATTTTCTTCAGATGTTTCAATATATTTCTACTAAAATTTAATGGGTACACAAAAAAAAGGATTGTTCTCGTATATAAGTGCTCCTGAATCATTTGCAAATGCATATAGGCACAATATCATTTAAAGCCAATACTTGAAAGTATCGGCTTTAAATGATACATCCAAGTGTTACAGTATGAACAAACTGATCGTGCTTACCAGAAAATAATCAAGCATGCTGGTGTATTTTTATATAAATGCTTGGCTATATTTTTTCTGTATTTATGTGCAAAAGTTTTTACTTACTGTTGTAGTATAAGATGCTATATGCGCATAACTATATTTCAGACTGCAAAGAGGTCTAAGAGAGACAGAAACATCGGATTTAATCAGCCAATGATTTAGTGAAGGGTTTTTGCTATATTTGGGGCCGAATTAGATTCTTTTTGGAAGTATTCGAGTATTTGATTTGCAGTTATATTTCCAACGGAAAGCGAGATCTCAAAATTTATAGAACAATCTATTTGTGCCATTACTCTATACGAAAAGGTATGGGCCCACCAGCGACCTAGTGGTAAAGTGGCTAAACCCTGGTAGTTCGACCTGGGTTCAATTCCTGGGGAACGGTCTGACTGCATGGACTTCTTCATAGCTTTCATCATGTATCACGTGGATACTAGCCAGCTCCCCTTACACCTCCTCGAAGGCATCCGTCCTCTTAGGCAGATCCCATGTTTTGCCATTATCAAACAAACCTAACCAAGCCAAAAAGGCGTGTTGTTCGGGTTTGGTTTTATGCAATTACAGCAAAAACCTCAAGGACTATCTGCCTAACGGGAGGGAAGGGATTTCTAAGAAGAGAATGGAATAGAAAGAAAGAAATAGAAATCTCTTCAAGGACCTTCTAAAGGAAGTGGCTCGCATACATGTTACACACGGGATAAAACCACGAAAACGCCCATGCAGTCAGCCCGTTCGCGGAATATGAACCTCGGACCGAACTACCAGTGTTCAGCAACTTTACTACTCGGCTGCTGGTGGACGTTTGTTGTTCGGAAACAATTTGGGCAGATTTAGCTGCACTAGTTCAACGTACTCACTAAAAGCTGTATTTCAGAGTTCTATTGAATTATTTTCAGTTCATATTTTTAGAGCCTTTCCTTTAAAATTTCTTGAGTTACTATTTTGAAACAAAACTAGAATTTTTTCCCTAGCTATTTGTTTTTACCAAGTTGTATTTTATTGTAGCAAAGCTTGATCTATAAAGAAATGAAATTTTCCAAGTTGTTAGTCATGCAGTGTTAACCAGGAACATAAATACAATATTAAAAAATAACTTATCCTATTTATGGCATTTTCAGCATATGGATTTATAAGAAAACTTAAATCGGAATGATAAAGATACTTCAGCAAGAATATATTTCAAAATCTCATAAAATTTTATATTTGGTCTTTCTGTTCTCTTCAATGGATATTTAAATTTTCATATTTATCTGTATAGCTATTTTTTGTAAGTAATGTATTTCACTTTTGTTCTTACTATTAATCTATTCTTACTATTTTCTTTAATATTACTTCAAAAGTAATGTATTTCATTTTTGTTCTAGGACAGTTTATTTTTTAATTTTTTTAATATTTAAAATTTTGCAGATAAAAGATATTATGACGAGTTCATATGATGATACATTTTTTGTAAGGTATTTCTTCCCTCCTTATCAGGCATCTTAGTGGTGTAATTGGAAACACGTCCCGCTACCCTTCGAGAAGTTCAGGCGCCATTGTAGAGTGATTTGGTTTGTTGAAGGCGAAAACATGAAAAAATAAACGATACCCTCACATGCAATCCCACTTTGCATCACCTGATTGCTAACAGGACGAGCTTCCAATTACACCACAAAGCACGAGGTAGAAGGGAGAAAATAATTTACATTCTTATCCACTTAAAGGGCGATTCCAGAGGAAAGGCCCTATCGCCGTATCAAGAGGTGACGGATTATCGTCCGACACATTTATGGTCAGGAGCTACTTATACATTCATTTTGATTTTTTCAGGGCCGGAAAACGTGAGAAATCAGCGATACCTCCTCCCCGGAATTCGAACTGCAGACCTCCCGACTGCTAGCCGGACATGCTTCCAACTACGCCACGAAGGCACGTGGTAGGGAGGGAAAAAGTATCTTAAAGTTTCACCCAAGTAATTTTTTACGATATTTGTAGATTTCGATATCTATATTTTATTTACCACAATAATTTTTATATAGATTTTAAATAACTAAAATGATACTTTTAGAGCTCTATATTAAGTAATTTATTTACTTCATACAATAATTTCGCATTTTTGTTTCTGTTCATGACAGGATAATGCTTGAAAGCAGTCAGCGTCGATTATCAATTCATTAAACAGACATTTTGTGATTTAAATTTCTGTTAAGATAACCTCTGTAACCAAAATTTATATTTATGTTTCGTTCCTTGAAACTGTTCTTGATCATAAATTTCAATATTTTTTGGTTAATAATTGGGGTTTACGTTTGTTATCGTTCTTAGTAAATAAAATACCATTTAAAAAAGCTGTCATTCAATGAAAGCATTTTCTTTGTAAACAATTTCTGCTTTGGAAACGCCTCTAGATCTTTCACCCTGCGCAGTTATTTAATATAATAAAAAGTAATCTGACAATGAATGAGACTTGCTTTTTACTTCTTTTTACGAAGTATTGTAATCGCGAACAATTTCGGGTATCATATTTCAATGAAAATATCCATTTTGACCGCTATCGAATGAAATTTAACGATGTTTTTGCGCGACATCCGTACGTAAGGAAATAATAAAGGACTCGTTTTCCCTCAAAAAATTATAGAACTAATTTAAAATGAATTCTGAAGAGAGTTATTTCATGGCGTCTGTACGTACGTATGTATGTTCGTATCTCGCCTAACTCAAAAACGAGTACCCTCAGAACGTTGACATTTTGTATATAGGACTACTATGACATGTAGATGTGCATCTCCCATTTTAGTTGCAATCGGCCACACCAAAAGTATATAAATATATGTGTATATATATCCACTCTGTTACTCGGCTCAGTGATTTCAATTTCTTTATTCTTGTATGTTTGTAAATTGTGCAATTTTTGCTTTAAAAATGCTTGACTTATGTTGTTCTTATCTTCCGGTTAAAGTTTTTATGCCTTTAATTAACCTGAATGCAATAATTGTGGAATTATCAACAATTTAAAAGTTTTTTACGTGCGGCTAAGTCTAATTTTTGTTTAGCATAGAGGCCTTATTTGAAACTTAGCAGAATAGTGGATTTGTTGCCAATCTAAAAAAACTAAGTTTCGCAATAACAAAATAAGGTCTTTTATTATTGCGATTTAAATTATGCTTAATTAATTCTGAAATTATCATTTAAGTTATTAGCTTGGTTTTGCATAGAAACTGTAATTTCAATTGCAAAAATTGTTTTTTTTTTAATTGTTTTAACTGTACTTGGTGTTTTATGTTTTTCTATATCTTTAAATTTTTTCTGAAAATATTTTGAATTTTTATGGAATTTTGTCTTCTCGTGAAGTGACAACTGAATTAATTAGTAGCGCATGCGCATTAGGTAAGCAGCGCTGAATCGTCTGTGAAAAACTATTTCTTTTTAATTTGTTCTTCTATACATCGTTTTAGATTTATTGTAATATTTGCAAAGAACATGTGACAATTCTTCAGATGATGTAATTTTTGTGCACTTTGAGTTATAAATTAAATGAGATGTAACTCTGTTAGCGCCGAAGTGTTGGTATGGTAAATAAATACAGGGAACTTGAAAGAGAGCATTTATTCTATTGTGGTTTATGAGCTATCGACGAAGTAGATTTAATTCAAAATTCGTTAATTGTTAATTCAATATGTTTAAATGAAATGCAGGAAAATTGCGTATAATTTAATATTCCTTACAAGGAAGTCATGTGGTGTACACATCAGATTTTTTCTTTTTACAGTTAATATTAACTCCATAAAAGAAACCGATATTTGCCTAAACACATTCATAAAAATGAAAACCGTTTGCTTATGCAAAACTTTAGATTAAAGAACCGGACTTGATGTTTCATTACATATCGGTTCCAAGGAAAGATACCAGGAAATTTTTTTATTTCCAATGCCGGACACTAGCCATTATAGGCACTTTCCACTACTAAGGTCGGGCCACAGTTGCCTCTTATGAAGGGACAGACTCTGGGATTCAAACCCAAGCGTTTCGGTACGGCAGGATCAGAGTCACTAACCACTTTCGCGTCTGGGCGGCTTACGAGGTAATTAATTATGGCAAAATAAGTGCATGAGTAAAAAGGAACTATCACGAAGAATTTCTCCCAAAGTTTCTCTCTGTTGACTATGATAGCCAGTGAAATCGGTTTTTTTCTTTATTAAGCACTCTGCCGCTAGGCCCTACACGGAAAGGAAGGGAAGCTCCGTGGAGGACGTCTTAAGGGAAGCTGGCTTTTATCCACATTATACAAGGGAAAACCCAAGAAAATGTCCATGCAGCCAACTCATTAGCCGGGACTCGATCCTCGGACAGAACTACCAGTTTTTGCCACTCGGCCGTTGCCATATCGTTTGCTCCGGCTTTGAAAACCGGATAAGGCATGTATGTTTGCTATGCGTAGTGTCTTTACAAGGTAGAGACACTTAAAAATATCGTGTCCATCTTTGGAACACAGCTGGGCAAACGCGCACTGTTTCTTGTTCTCTAAGGCCTTGAGCAATGAACGGCTTTATCTCTTCCTCTTTATTGATAAAATTCGTAAATGTGATTTAAAATCGAATCCCAAAATCAAGAAAATGAGTAAAAACAACACCATTACTTACAGAAGCTTGTTTGTGATTATGTTACTGGTAACAGAACCTGCGATAGTTTATGTAGTCAGCTCAGTCCTGGTAAGCAGAATAAGAGAAGAATGACTAGTATTCCTGAACTTTAGGGAACTGACCAGTTACTTTTAAGATGCTAACAGGCGTAACCTCAAAAGTCCGAAACAGCAAGAAATTAGAGGAGGAAAAAAGGGGGAAAACTGAAATCTTCACTATAAATTAGTTCCTTTTTAATTCCCTCCTGTTTCTCTTTCTTTGCCTTATTTTATGAAACGCACTATTTTATGAAACGATTTTTCCTGAAATCCCTAAGCATCCCTATACTCTCATATAATTTTCAAGAGCTGCTGATTTCCTGATTAATACTTTAAATCAACATATATAGTCAAGTGCAATGAAACGCACTAAGATTTTAGCGATTCCTGAGCTCAAATTGCACAGTGTCATCAGTTTTATTCATTGGCGTTCGATTGGAGAAATTAAAGTATATGCAATACTTCAGACACCAACAATGTTTCACACTGGCGTATTCAGAACTGAGTTGTATCTGAAGAATGGAAAAGTGCCAATACGAAACAGGCTCTTAAGTATGCCAAGAGCAATATGCAAATATTTGGGGGGTCAGTCAGTGACCTGAGGAGAGCTGAAACAATTACTGGCACTAAATTTCCGAGGTGGTTTCTACTGACCCGCGAAGAACTGCCTCTACGATAGATAGCTGCTAGTGGGGTCAGGAAGATGGCGATCTATGTTTATGTCTGCCTTCACCATAACAGCAGCAATAAATGTTGGGGAAGACTGAACTTAATTTTATTTTTATGAGATTAGTAAAGAAGGTGCTGAACAAAAAGTTTCTTGTCCGTACTAAACATTTTACCGTATCCGCTTTGCATAGCTTTGAGTGTTTGCAATTTTTAATTCGTTATGGTTTTCCTGGTTTGTGTTTTGCAGACGCCTAAAGAATCCCTCCAGATGTTTTTCCGTGATTATTCTCAACATGCATAAAACTTAAAATTATGTTCTCAATGATAAAATTTTATGAGGAAATAAATTGATTCGCATATCGTTCATAGTATTTCAGATGTCTGTCGTCAGTGTTTTTCTAGTTTTCTTGTTTTGAATGTTCACTAAAAAGGTAGACGTTTAAGGAGACATTATTCTCAAACATTAGTCTTTGAATTAGATATTCGGATTTCTTCCCGGGTTCTTTGATTTGAGTAATTTATTTTATGTTTTTGAATTAGCAATTTATTTTATGTAGTACAATGCAATATGATTAAAATTTAAACATTAACATACAACCCTTTCGGTACTTCTAATTTTTTTCAGTGAAACTACAATTGCACTTAAGGTTTACAGAAAATGTAATTCAAATATCAGCAGAAAATTTTGTTATTCGCGTAGCTACGAAATATTTAAAAAATTTATATGAATGATGATATATATTAATATGATGAAAATATATTATTAAAATTAATATGAATTTAATGTGACTGCTTAGAATTTTTAGTTATTCATTATTAGCCAAAATGGACGTTAGTCCCGAATGGGATATTGGTCTCGAAACGGCATTTTGCGCTGAATCACTATAAACGGCGTATCACTTTTCAAATTGTTGCCATTAAATATTATCGCATTTTATTATATTTAATGAAATTGAATAATAAAGAATCACCCGAATATGGGCACCTGGAAGACGGAATTTTGAATTTCAAATCTGTTTCGAAATTTGTGGAATTTCGAGTCTATTTCATATTATGTAAAGCTTTTAATTATCAAAATTTTTAATTAACAAACTCAATTCAAAATTTTCAAAGCGAGCAGTGGTAACACTGTACGAAATAAATCATTTTTCTTTCCAGCGTACAAGACTGTCTATCAGAAATTTTAAATATATGATGTTTTTAAATACTTCGTGATTTTGCTGTTGAATCGGATTTTATGTGTCGTAAGCGCCAAGAACGTGTTATTTAATAAATAAATTAAGCACGCAAAATGTTAATAATAAAAAGACAAAAAAGGTTTTAAAGCCATCTTAGTAAGAAAACTCACCTTTGATATGATAAACTGAGAAAAGACTGAATAAAAGCAAAACAATGTATACCAACGCTCAACGTCCATCGGAAATTCTAAACGTACACTACTATATTGCTTTTAAAATTTTTGTAATTTTGCTGTTGAATTGTATATGGCGTAGTTTGAATAAACATAATTCTTGATAATAAAGCTAAAAAGACAAAAAAAAATGGTTAGTAGGAATGAGTTAACAACAGACTGGTACACTGCGAGCTCCAAAAGAGCGTAAAAAACCTTTTAGAGCGGCAAAAAACGATTTTAGCTAGGTTAAGTAAGCTGCAACGAAGCTCGCCATTTCATATCTCAGTTAAACTTCTGATTAATTATATACGTTTATTTGTAAGATTGAAGCATTGGAAGTAGCTGCCAGATAGTTACTTAAAACAAGTCACAAGGTAAATGTTAAAATCTTATTTGACCAGAACGCTTTTAAAAATCACAAATTGCGGAAGATAAACATTCTTTAGCGTGGAAATGCAGTTCAACCACTGAAAACATTTATAGAGTTTGACTTGCTTTGGGAACATAGCCTATTTCCAAACTCTTCACAGACGTAAAACGAATTATCACTGTGTCTGAAATTAACTACAAAGTTTTAAAAGGTTTTTTGAAGTAACCTTTTAATTTAAACACAAACTTTGAACATAAATGCACTTCTTGTGCTAAGAAGATCGACCACCACTTTTAGCTATGTAAGTGTAAGTAAAATAACAGGTGACAGGTGAGAGCAGGTCCGGACACCCGGATGGCTTACATAGACTAATCGGATATCGTCCGGATCCCGATTACTCTCTGAAGGGCTATCTGATCCGGGAACTATTTGAAGCTACACTCCGAAAATAATACAAAGGCAAAGTACATAGCCATACAAGGGCAAAATTTAGATTTTTCTGCATGCGAAATTAAACATTTTCCTGTCTACATCGCATGTTAACACATTGCTACACATACTACAATATATATTTCATAATGTGCATTGCGTTGATCATTGCACTGTATTTAAGGGACATTTACAACTCAATGCTACACTTAATGCACTACATATTCTTTGCAACATATTACGCTGAACATTATTCTTGACAATTCAACATAGATTCTGAACAAATAAGACATAACTTGATTATATAGTACATAACTTAGTTATATAAGACAGATTTTACTCAATTAAATTTAAATCGAAATTGGTCCAAAATTTCAACTGGCGTAATAGTTTAAATGTAGGCAACTTACAATGCAAAGTAGAATGATTATAAACTTATCAGACATAGCAGAACTAAAGTATCGTGGCCTAGAGAGGTAGAAACACGTTCTAGCTTACTATTCAAAAGCCTCATCTTAAATACTCTTACTCAATCAGAATTTTGGTGAGGAAATGGAAAGGAGAGGTTATAGTAAAGGCCAAAATTATAATTAATTGGTTAATTTAAATAACAAACTTATACATTAACTGATCATTAGATGTTATTTTTGCTTGTAATTTTAATGTGATGTTCATTAAATCGCGTTACCGCCCAGATGGGATTAGTGGTTAGTCACTCTGACTGCCGTACCGATGGGCGTGGGCTCGAATCCCGAAGAAGGCACGGATGTTCGTAAAAACATAATATCTTTGCGGCAAGGAGGCGCTCTAAATTTATGGCTAGCCGAAAGTCCTCTCATGTAGTTTGGTGATAGGGTAGAGGGGTGGAAGACCCTCGGACCAATCACCTGGAGTGCTGTTCCTCAAAACTGGAGATGAAAGTAGAACTCACTCTTCTTTAAGGCTCTGGAAATCATTCTTCCGTGAAATAAGGGCTCTAAAACAAAAACAGCAATAGTATTAGATCACGTTATTGAATATCCAAGAATATAACAAAACAAAGTATGTTTTAGCCAGGAAAATGATAGAATAGTTGTTTTCTGCAAAAAGGAAGAATTTTAAATTAAAAAAAAAATAAATAAATAAAATAAAAAAAATAAATAAATAAATAAATATTATAGCGTTTGTTAAGTAGTAAATACAATTATTTTCAATTACTCAAAACATTTTAAGAAGTCAATCTAATGGAGATCAAATTCGAAATTATGATAGCTTTTTTTGCTGTATTTATCTCTATATCCGAGCATCCCTTGCTGCAGTCGTTTACTGTACTGGCTCGGATCTGTACCTTGGCAATCTTGGCAATTTTGGAGTTGAAAACAGTAGCCTGGGGGTTTCACTTGCCCAGCTGGGAGATAACTCGAGCCCAAATTTGTTTGGCCCAGTTCGGGAGTGTTGGCGTAAGTCATGTTCCGTAGAAGAAGGCAGCTTGCTGTAACAAAAAATGAGGTGTGTGATCTGAAAGAAGTATAAAATTAAAGTAATTTACCCCAAAAGGATGACAATTCAAATAATACAAATCAATTAATATTTATTATATATTGAAATCAGTAAATTTTGAATCAGTACCAGCATAAATTAAGTAAATATCGCCAGACAGAAGAATATCGGTCGTGATCGTATAGTGGAAGAATAGACAGAAGAGTATCAGTGCTACTATTTTGAATCCTGACCTCTCGTACGAGATGTCGTAATATTCTAATCAAAGCAGAACTCCTTCCATCGACGTAAAGCAGTTTCGTGATAAAAAAAATAACATTTTTTAACGGCGGAAATTGAGTTAGCTGGTTATTCCAATATATTTTTGAAGAAGCACAAGTCGGAAAGTACGGAACGTTCTAGCACGTGCACATGAAGTCTTTTCGAAGATTTTTAAATTGTAGAACGTTATTCATTACCGTCAGATGTTTAGGTATATAGATCCTTTTAGTTGTATCTTCAGTTTCAATTTCTTTACTAGAAGGAATACCATGGCTCTACATCCAGCAACGGAAATAGCAGACAAAAAAAGGAACGAAAAAGAACAAAAATGGCGCACACGTCAGCCGGGGTGAGGACAGCCAGAAGCCCGTTCTACACCTTCGGAGCCCAACAGCAGAAGGAAAAGAAACCGGTTGTAGCCGTCAATCTCGCCTTGTCATTCAGCGGTCACAGTGAACACATTTGATGTTGAATAAATGTGAAGGCTTGCCTGCACACTTGCGAATACTGGAGGGAGCAATTTTGGGAGACCAGTCAGATCTCCATGCGTGCATTGGGAGCTTGGAATTGTGAACCTGCGCGCCCGGGAGGTAGCAATGGTTACAGGGAAACTTTTAAGTTGGCCCTCTCGGATTGGGACCTCAGAGCGGTAGCTTGATGAACCTGTGGAAAACTTTGATTGGTGACCCAAACCCTGCCTAATATGAAGACCTTTCAGTTGGGACCGGTCCGTATAATGCTAAACAGGGGGAGCACGATAGACAATTATTGTTATTGTTATATCCGATCATACAACACTCAGAACAACTTCATGAATACTTATAAGCACAATCAAAAGCATCTGTCATTCATTTGAAGGCAATTATGGTAACAGAACGATTTTGCCACTGTCTGTTCCAATTTTGATTAAGAATATACCAAGGGAGCAGAATCCAAGAATTTTGTTTTCCTCTTCTTCTACCACTTGCCTCTCAAGGAAACCTTCTGTTCATCGGATATTAAATGCCCTCATTCCACAAAGACACCGCATATTTATAAGCATTCGTGTCGTCTCCAAAAATCGAAACTGAATCCAGTTATTTTGCAGTTCGGTTTGTTAGTCACTACCACAGGGTTGCTTTTGTAAAATATAATTTAATACTCAATTGTTTTTAACTTCATAATATGAAATTAGGTATTCTTTTCTTTTAAATTACCGCAACATCAGGTAATTATCAGACATAGCAGACTTATAGACAGACTTATAGACTTATAGCAGACTTATAGACAGGCTTATAGACTTATAGCATACTTATAGACTTACAAGTCTTTGTTTCGTATTAAGCGTATAGGCCACCGAAGCCACGATGAGCTTCTTAGTTTCGAAATGCTCTTCATTCAGTGAACACATTGTCTATTTTTTTATAACTGAATTCGCCAGCCGCATTTGTCATTGTTTGTGGAAATCGTCAAGGAGAAAGAACAGAAATGACAGATTTTGGATCGAAGGAAGTCTATATGATTTTCTTTGTGCTACAGAGTGTTGAAAAGATATTTATAAGTACTACAAATCGTAAGTTCTTTATCAAATCCTAAAACTAATGTTTATGTGTTATTAACTGTATATAGATAACTGAAAATTTTATTTCGGAGCAGGAAACATGAAGAGTGTCCAATGTTCTCCCCAGGACTCAAACTCCGGACCTTTCGACTGCTGACCAGAAGCGGTTTCCCCCATGGAAAGCATCCGGTAAGGAGAGACAATATCCTTACAAGTATTTTCTATATGCGAAAAGTCGAATCTTCTTTCCTTCGAGATAGAAAGGTGCATCTTGTCAAAATAAGTTATTAACAACTGTTGCTACTTTAGAATTAAAATAGAAGAAAGATATGTAGTCAGTTTTTTCAACTAGCCAAAAATTGAGCTGCATTGAATGACAGTGGTTATTTACTTAGATAAAAACATATCAGGAAGTTGATGAAATTAGTTTGATATTAGAAGTGTTGTATAAACATGTTCACATGAAATAATTTAATAAATTTTTAATGAAGTACATGAAAATTCTTTTAGATTTCTTCGCTCATACACTTGAATATTAACGTTTTCTCGATCGTGTTTTTAATTTTCGGAGGGCATGGCAAGCTGTGTATGAAATTATATAAATTATGACAATTGTAAGCTTTAACGAAAGATGGCAAACTAAAATGGATAATTTCGTGCCATTTTATGCAAAAATTACAGCAAAGAAGCATTCAATTATTTCAACTCTGAGCCTTATAATAGTAATCTTACAATGCTTGAGTGGCGGAGAGCCTGTTGCATATGCGTAGGTCTAGTCCAGATCTGGATGGCATTAGCTATGAAATGGTCAGGCATCTATCTTACAAGCCACTGACTGTCCTTCCTTTAATAAAGTGTGGAAGAAACATACCTTTCCTAGTTAGTGGAAGAGAGCTTTTGTTATCCTTTTTTGCTAAACCTTGTAAAGACCCAAAGAATCTCTTAAATTACCGGTCAGTTGCACTTCCATTTGTATTTGTAAGTTGGTTGAAAAACTGATAACTCCCGCCTGATCTTCTATCTGGAGAGGAATAATGCAACATCTTCGTATAAGTTTTCCGAAAAGACAGACTACGGTGGATAAGATACTGTTTCTTGAAACGTCTATCCGTAAAACCTATGTGAAGCGGAATCAGTCTCTCTGTTTTTTTTATATGGAGAAAGCTTACGACAAACGTTGGAGGTTGGAGATATGGCATTTTACTGGACTTTGTTTCACTGATCTGCGTGGTAACTAATCAACTTTTATTCATAATTTTTTAAAAACTAGGATTTTTCAAATAAGAATTCTTTCTGTTTTTTTCAGATGTTTTTGAAAATAAAAAGCGTGTGTCACAAGGCTCTTCTCAGCATTATGCTTTTCAGTTTAAAAATAAACTTCGTCCTAAAAGAGCTCTCTCCTGCTGTTTCAGGATCATTATATGATGATATTCAGATAAATTGTCAAAGTGCGGATATGAGATATGGGGACTAATATGGAGTATGGTCTCCTCTTACAGCCAGACAGATCGCGAAACGTGACACTATACTGAACTCGAGGCAGCTGAAGAATCCATGGGGCAATCGATCACACTTTTGCAGCAAGGCGCTTTTCAACTTCGGGATACCGCCCAACCGGTTGCGTCGCTGACTAGTGGTTAGCGTTGCAAAGGACACGGGTTCGAATCCCGGAGAAGGCATGGATGTTTGTAAATGCATACTGTCGGTGCGACATGGCAGCACTCTAAATACGCGGCGAGCCGAAAGTCCTCTCGTGTAGTTTGGTGGATGGGAAGAGGGGTAGACGACCCTCTTATCCGTCCTCTTACGGTGCTCTTCATAAAATTTAAGGGCGGAACTGAGCTCAATTGTACTGTCACATGTAAGGTGCTCAAGGTAACTTCGGAATGGTTCTCAAAAAGGAATAACGAATGAAATCTCCCTCCCAAGATAGTACCAGACATGCTGTAAGGGGAAGATTTGGCTGACCAGTAGATCCGGAGAATATCCTCACTTTCCAAGCAATCGTCGACCATCTGAACCCTATGTGGACAAGCGTTCTCATCTAACAATAACCCAGGACCAATTGCAATCCTAAAAAGTCAAACTTGGGGGCTCTAAGACCCCCTCTCTGTACCTCATAGCAGTCAGAGAATCTTTGTCTAACACATGTAGGATGTGCAGCCGTCCGACATAATGCCTGCTCAAACCTTTACACCTCCACTCGTATAGCAAATCTTTTCCTTGATGAGAGAGGAATCCATTGGCGTTCCAGGCTCTTTCCAGATACAGGTACGCCAAGAATTAGTATCCAAACTAAAGCTGGATTCATCTGTAAAACGCATGGTGCTCCACTGAAGCCTTGTCTCCAAGGCGCATGTTTTCCACATCATGTTAAATGCGCTGTGTTGTATGCTGCAGTGAACGGAACCAAACAGCGAAGCTTTTGGGATACAGCCTATCTCGTGAAGCCTTCGGGCAACTGCAGACCGTTAAACTCGAGCTCCATTGGCAGCATATAGTTCACACGAGAACTGCTAAACTAGAGCAATCCTGTGCCGCTGTGCTAAAAGTGTCGAACAAAGATCTTCATTCGTCGTTAGGAATCGCAGTCGACTTTGTCCAGGTCTTCTCGATATGGATCCAGTGTTCTGAAACTGTTTCCACATATTTCAGATAAAATTAGACGTCGCACTGAGCTCTGTAGCTACCTGGGTTTGTGATTGTCATGCCTCTAATCTACCGACGATTGTCCATCTACTTATTTTACCTGATACCTTATAAAATTTACCCATTTCTTGCTAGAAACATGAGGAACGTCGTGAAAGAGTACAAGCCCACATATCGCCGAAAACCCCTCGTGCGCTTATATTCCCTCCGCAATCGCAGACACACACGCGCACGTTTATGTATTCGACTCTGAAGATTTGCATATTTCTTCGGTGGCATAATTAGGATACGTTTCATAAAAATAGACATAATTTGTAAAGTTGCTTAATTTTCCACACAAGTGCATTAGTAAGATTGCATATCGGCAACTTTTTCGGAGCGTAGAAAAATGTATAGCAGTAAAGTTCATGTATATAGAGATCGGTCGAAAGCAGTTGGTCATGTTCAAGTATCATTTATTACAGTAGGATGTAGGGAGGGCAGGCGATTGTTTTCTCAGTATTTTACATCTAAATTAACTGATGTTTATTATTCCCTTTCATTCATGTCTAAGCTATGTCGGAGAACGCTTATTATTTATTCTGACTCATTCAGTGTTCTGATCAGTGATTCATTCAGTGATCAGGCGGGAGCTTTAGAAACATTTTCCGACACCCAGAATTAGGTAATAGTTGAAGTTCTAAAGTTAAATACAAACTTAAGAAGTCGCGGATATCAAATTATTTGCTACTAGCTTCACAGGCAATCAGAAATAAGGCATAATTCTGCCTTATCACGCCTACGCAGATATCCAGAGAAAATATGCTGTTGGACTGTCAAGTCACTTCAACACTTTCAGAGATATCGGTAATGTCATCATACAGAAGATCTGAAGGAATCGAAGCAACTTTGGGACATTCAGCCTCAAGAGATTGTAAGGAGTGAGCAGTGTAAAATCTAAAGTAGGATATCGGGAGTTTGTTTATAAAACGTAAGAAGGATGTTCTTTTAACTCACCTTAGAATAGGCGACACTTAGCTGAATTTTGAAAGCCAAGAAAGAGCCTTGTATGTTTAAATTTTAATGCCTTTCGTTTATTCACGTATCTGTCTCATTTTAATTGTCTACATTTTTAGTCTTCGTCAGAAGCATTTTAATAGCTGACTTACTTGTTTTGACCGTTTAATAGTTTTATTCATTAGTATTGTATCTTATTAAAATTTATCAAAATAAATCACATTGCTTTCTATTTGGTGCATTGTAAACATCTTTGGTTTCGTACCATGTCTCGTCATATGTTATGCAGCAAATTCCAAACATAAACTGTAAAGTTAAATATGAAATTACCACAAAGACCGTAGTATCATTATAATCTTTGTTGCAATTTATCATTAACACTAAAACATGCTTGAGTATATGATGCCACTTTTATTCTATAACACGAGGGTGGATATTTTCTTCCTCAGAATCGCAGGTGGCGGATCGGTTGAAAATACAAACAATTCAAAATGATCGTCATTACGTGTAATAATTCATTCTTTCTCTCCTTTTTTTCCCAAGAGAAGAGCGTGAAATATCACGCTTCCTCATTATACTACAAGAAGAATAGATTGAAGTGGTGGGAAGGGGAAAAATGCACCAATCACCGTGATAGATTCCGAATCGTGTGTTTGGATTTTCTCTGCAGAATTTAAAGCCATCCTCAAAGGGAACTGACTTTCTGTCCTCCCTCATGTGTGTCCTAATTTATTTTTTGTTTCCTTTTTATATTCGAAGTGGTGGCTATTACTGCAAAATCATTAAATTTGCTGGCTACTATTATTATTTATACATTAAACATTATTTGTAAGATCCTATTTCCCATTCAGAGGTGAAGGGTCCTCTTTTTCTAAGGGCGGTTAACTTCGAGAGCCAATGGAAATGAGGTTGCCTCGATATGCTTCTCATCTAAGCAGTTTTATTTTATTTACATGATGTTTATTTTGTCAGGTTCCTTTTGTTTCTTTTCCCAAGATAATAAGTTGTTTACGTTTAGAAGCTTTACCATTTGTACTAGAAATTTTGATGTTTAAAGTTGCTTCTCGATCGGTAAAATAAATCTGGAGTTTGTCAGTCTACAGAACAGCAAATGCGTTATCTCCTCCTGCTTAAACTGTACTCGTATGGATAAAAATTAATGCTTAAAATTACCTTTTTTACCCAGAAACTCTAGTGCAATATTAAAGAAGTACGTTTCGTTCTGAAACTAGATTTCCTTAAACTATAAGGCCTAGCGTGCCTTCGTGGTGTAACGGCAGCACACTGGGCCAGTATTCCAGAGGTCCGTGGTTCGATTCCCGGCGAAGGCGGTTGCATATTTTTCATTCTGCTTCCAGTTAACCTAATGACTCTACAAAACAACTGTTGGAAATATGTTGGAAACAACAACTAAAGAATTTAACTAAAAATTTTCCAATTATTCTGCAAAAAATTAAAAGAAAATAAAGGAAAAAAAGAAAAAAATGATTTTATTTATTACCAGGAAAAGATTCTCAGTTAATTATGAAATATTTACTTAGTAGCCTTGCAATTAACTTCGCAACTGGTAACAATTAATATTAACATTTTTAATTTTGGGCCCTCTGAAAAATCTATAATTACGCA